TAAGACTTATTATTGTTATGGAACAAGTATTAGGTTTATTCCATGCTGAAAAGAGAAGAGAGAAAACACAACGTTTCTGCCGTGGAGCCTTCTTCAGCTGTTATTATTGTTATTATTAATAAGAATAATACTTCCTAACAGTTTAATTCATTCAAAATTCTCAGCTGCCATGTAGCCTTTTGGAATGAGGCAGTCATTCCTCCACAGCCTTGTGCTTTTAGATGATCTGGTTAGACGTGAGGTCCCAGGACAGAGTGGACCACAGGCAAGACTGTTTTACCATGAGGGCTGTGCAGTATCCTGGCGCAGCCGAGATTAATGAAACATAGGCAATTCGCCCGCGTTGCGCTGCTGCCACCTACTGGCGTTCTGTAAAGTTGCAGCACAAGGCAAACTCGGAAGACCCGCGCTCGCTGGCGGAAATACAAGGACCTGGACGGCGACAGGTGCTTGTTTTCATCAGCTTCCCTGTCCAGAATGAGCCATAGAACAGCAGAGCCCCTGCAATGCACAGTTCGGTCTCGTGCTCGGTCACCTTGGCCACAGCCTCAGCCGAAGGCCGCCCTGAGTGAGATGGCATTGAGCTTCAGACATGTCGCAGCCTTGCAGAGCACATATGGGGAGCCCTGGCCTGTCCCATCGTGGGAGTCGGGGGGCTGCAGTATTTTGACAAGCGATTATGTGTGCAGCTGGCCTTTTGCGCTTGAACTAAGAGAGATCTGCCACACCACAACAACGTTAACATTACAGGGCTCTGCGCTAACAGCTGGAGCATCTGAGAGAGTGTGCGAGACGTCCTGGTGGTTTAATTTCCTGGCGGTGTGTTTGCATGAGGACTCTTATGAGATGCATGCCGAGAGCTTTTGCATACCGCTTAACGGTAAACCTGCCTCAAGACTCCCCCTGCTTCCCAGAGCAGCATCACCTGAGGAGGACAAGATGACAGCAGAAGCAGTGGACATCTGCAGACTGAGGTCCCCTGAGGTTCTCGCCATTCTCCCTCATGTTGAGTTGAAGTGCATTGGAGTGCCGCCACTTACTGGCGTTGTGTAGCAGTGCAATGCAATCCTGAAACCTTACCGAACTGCATCCGTTGTACATTTCCTTGCCAATCTCTAATCTCCTTCCCGTGCAGATTTTGCAGTCGGAGCCCCTTTCGATGGCTCGGGGAAGGTGTTTATCTGGTGTGGCCGTAACAAGGGGATTTCTGCGGAATACAGTCAGGTAAGTCGTTCAGTGTGCCAGAGCCATGTGCCATTCGCACAGAGTGTGAGAGCAGACGTGCTATTTCACAGAACCCCTTGGAGGTTTTAATGAATAATGAATTTCTCACCCCGTACTTAAAACGTTTACTTAAAATTATTATGAGGGGGCTTCTGACTGCTATTTTCTGTCCCCATCTTTACATGGGGGCCTCACTAGGAGGCTGGAAGTGAGTGTGTGTGGGGGTACCCCTGGACACGTTGCCTGTGCTTCTTAAACCTTCACAGGCTTGATGTCTTTTTATGGGGGGGGCGACTCGTGATTCGACTCTTGAACCCCATTTGACAATCCCCCGCAAAGAGATGAGGGCACCCCTAAAACCGTGTCTGACTGACGCTGTGCTTCTGCCGGCAGGTGATTGAGGGGCAAGAGGTGGGCAAGGGTGGATTCATGACCTTTGGCTACTCCATCGCCGGGGGGCTGGATGTGGATGACAACAGCTACCCTGATGTCCTGGTGGGCTCTCTGGACAACAAGATAGCCCTGCTCAGGTGGGCCGCAGCGCCAGACCCCTCGGGGCGTCCCGTCGGCTGCTTTTATCCGTTTGCTTCTTCTGTCTGCATGCATGTGCATATACAGGGCCTGTGTATCCGTGGCTTGGGCAGAAAAGTAGCCTTCCATTTTTGATTCCTCCTAAAAAACATTTTCCTGTGAAAGCTCACAATTCCTATCTGGATCCACTTCACAGCTGGGGCACGGCTGTTTGTCTCTGGACCTGAAATTGGATCAGAAAGCAGAAATCGGACCAGATATCTCCCTCTTGCCTCTTTTCCTGATCCCCAGATATCTCAAATCCTTCCTCTTTCCGTTGCTTGGTTTCAGGGCTCGGCCAGTCATTAATCTCTCCACGACGTTTGCCGTTGAGCCCAAGATCGTGGACCCCAGTAAATGTACCTCAAACTCCTGGTGAGAGAGCTGCAGAAACGCCCGTTGTGGTCCGTTGAGCGAGGATTTTATTTGTTATTTTATTCATGCTCGTCCTAAGCTGCCTCTTACTGTGTGTTGATGGTGTTTTCCAGTATCCAAGTGAACCTGTGCTTCTCCTACACACTGAGCACTGGCAACAAGAACTTCAAGAGGAACATCAGTGAGTTCAGATTCCTGTTCTGTACAGGAGGGAGTCAGTAACGCTTTTCAAATGCCTGGTCTGACTCTGGTTTAACCCTGGTCTGACACCTGTCTGGCACTGATTTAAGCCTGCTCTGACACTGGTTTATCACTGGTCTGACATAGTTTTATCACTGGTGAGCTGCATACCAACCTGTCTGTCTCCCAACACTCAGCTCTGGCTTATGACCTGAGTGCCGACAGGGACCGGCGAAGCCCACGAGTCCGATTCCTCAGCAACAACCAGAACACCTACAGAGGCTCCTTCTCCATGCCCGAGACCAGCTGCCAGACCCTCGAGCTCGTCCTGGTGGTAAGGAGAGCTCAGTCCACGCAGGAAACATGCCACAGGCCCTCTCCTCCTTTTCCAGGCAGCTTCTGGAGAGTCTGTTATTTTTAATTTGATGAAAAATCAGAGCAATGTAGGAAAATAATATTTAATGTTTTTTTTTATTTCATAAAGTTTGTACAAGGGCTGTGCACATCTGTTCGGTTTCACTGCCTTTTCTTCATGTAGCTGACCCACATAAGACTGGTGGCTCTATTTGATCCCTCCTTTACACCAGTGCTTTACTGTGCTGTACTTCTTTCACTTCAATTACTGTTAATTCACACAAATTGTACTCTTCTTTTACTGGACTTTACTGCACTGTACTCTGGTTTTGCTTATCAGGCACTGGGATTTATGTATTGTACTCTGCTTTTACCGTAGTGTTCCTTTACTTTTATAAAGGTTCTGGGGGCACCTGTGTGAGTGTCTGTATCAGTATTGAGTATACGTGACTGAAAATGTCATTTTAAGAGGTGACTGGCCTGTTAGTGAGAGGAGGTCTGCTCTCTGTTTCCTCTCAGGACAGTAACATCCAAGACAAGCTGCACCCTGTGGTGTTCGCTCTGAACTTCTCGCTGGCGGAGCAGACCCAGAGGGGCAGGGGACGCCGGGCCCTGCAGAACCTGGACGGGTTCCCCATACTGAGAGAGGGGCACAAACTCTCGGAGACCGCCGAGGTACCCCCCACCAGCACACTGAGTCCGAACTGGCCCTAGTCGTGACAGAAATGGCAGCGCTGGTGTCGGACGCAGGAGCAGTTGCGTTAGCAAAGTGGAAGTGGTGTTGATAGAAGCAGGAACATTCATGTAGCAGTAGCATTTACCATGGCAGTAGTATTAGCAGCACTAGTAGTAGTAATTGTAGTAGTACTTGAAATGGGCTTTACCTCTGTAATAAGGACTCTTGAAAGTGAGGGCAGTCCTTCAGAGCTGTCCGTTTCATATTGAATGACTTGGTTATACTGGGTGTGAGAAATTCGGCCTCTGCAGCGAGGTAAATCCCTAACTCTTGGTGTCCCAGGGTCAGTTCCTTGTGCTTCTTTCTCTCAGATCAATTTCCAGAAGGACTGCGGCGATGACAACAGGTGCAGGAGTAACCTGCAGCTCTCGGCGCTGTTCGCCAGCGAGCAGCAGGTACCCCTCCCCAGGTGCGTAGGGTCGAGTGTGCCCGCCCTTCAGCTACAGGACCGTGTCCGGGGTATGCAGGGGAAGTATCTAGGAAGTATCTGGAGAGTGTCCGGGGGGCGTGTCCAGGGGCGGTCGGGGGCGTGTCCAGCGGGGGTCGGGGGGCGTGGCCAGAGGATGTGTCTCAAGAGCACTCAGGTGGTGCCAGGAGAGTGTCAAGGATCTGTGCAGGGTGTGTGGGGAGAGTTTCTGGGGTGCCTGGGGTCCACAGTCCTGGAGAGTCCCTGGGTCCAGCTCAGGGTCTGGCACAGCCAGGCTCATGCAGGTACAGTTGGGTGCTGCAGCGCTCTCGCTGATGTGAAGCCGAGGTGTGCTCAGACGCAGGTGATGCGCTGGCTGAGCTCTGCCCCGTGTGTGTGTGTGTGTGTGCAGTCAGGGCGGCCTGCAGGTCCTGCAGTACAGCACCAGTGTGAAGAAGCTGCTGCTGGTGGTGAACGTGACCAATCTGCCCTCGGGGGCCGCGGAGGCGGAGGACGCTCACCGGGCCGAGCTGAACGTCACCATCCCCGCCGCGCTGCGCTACTCCGGGGTGCGCTCCAGCCACTCGGTGAGAGCCGGCCTCCGCGCGGACTGAGCCAGGGGTCGGTGTGTTGACTCCGGGGTGCAGGAGGGCAGCAGTAGCTCTGCGGGGGGGGCATGCATGCTTGCAGAGTCGAAGAGGTATGGGGAGAGACTGGGGCAAACGTGTGCACGTGGGTAAAGGGTGGACAGCTGAATTAAATGTGTGCTGGATGTCAAAGTTCATTTTCTGAATCCCCAGGACAAGAAGAACATTGTTTGTTCTGCAGACGAGACGTTGCTTTGCCAGCTGGGAAACCCCTTCAAAAGCAATGAAAAGGTACGGAAAGCTTTGTGCTGGGCTGAGTCCCTCACTACTGCCCCCTGCTGGGTGCACAGGGCACTGTGACTCCTCAATGGAGTTTGTGATCTGTGCTGCATAGAAGACCTAAAACCAAATTTCCACTTATCTCTTAAGTTTTTTTATCTAAAGGGTATCATGTAAAGTAATTAAACTGTAAGTCTTGCTTAAGGGGATAATGCCTTTATACTTAATACTTATAGTAGTAAACTTAAGATTCTTACATTGTTTCAGCATCATGCAGAGAGAAAGATAGTGCTCGTCTTGCACATGAATCGAAACCAAACTAGGAATCTCTGATGGCAAAGATGTCCATCGAGATGTCTTTTCAGACTTTAGCTCATAAACCAAAGAAATGTTTCTGGTTTAAGTGAGTAAAATTTCCATTTACCGATCCCTCTCTGACCCCCAAACTCCCCTGTTTCCCCTCCTGCAGGCCACAATCCTGATTATCTTTGAGACCTCGGGAATCAACTTGTACACGGACAAGATAGAGACCCAGCTCCAGCTGTCCACGTGAGTCTGCGTCTGAACCCTGCAGGGACGTTCCCTCATCTCATGAGGGGGGTGTTCGCCCCAGCTGTCCCCTGATTTCAGCCGTGGAGCCCGCCCCCAGCGCAGAGCTGGAGAGATCTGCTGGCTGCGTCTCCCAACAGCTGTGCAGATCCCCTGCAGATTCAGTTCAGAGCAAGCTTGTCTTGTGGGACTCTCCCTGAAGTGGGACACGCACATCGGCACCTGTCATAGGCTGGAGTGTTAGTGCTTAATTACACTGTGGAGTGGAATAATTACTGCAAGATTTGAACTTAGCTGTGCCGCCCTGTGTTAGTGACCAGACCGTTTCAAGGTCTCCTAAAGTCCGATATGAACTGACTTCTTCAAAGACCCTGAAGAAAACCACTTAAATCTAAAACAAACCAACTGGTCACATACTCCATGAGGCTGTATTGTATAACTAGACTTTACTGACAGAAAACAAAGACAACGTAAAATATTTTCAACCAAATACCCAAATACCCCTGTAAACATTATTCACAACTGAAACACCAATTGTGCATTATTCACAATTTTGCACAATGCATTCTTTAAGCACCAGAACTTCTCAGAGTCACCCAGACCTGTTCTATACTGTATAAAAAGGGTTAGGAACCTGGAGCAGTTCTGCAGGGCAGATGCTGTGCTGCTGTGTGTTGAGCTCAGTAAAGGCTGAATGTATAACAGGCTCCTGTTGCAGAATGTTAGTGAGACCAGGACAGGCACTCCTCCAGCCTCCTTACACAGCTGGCCTTCGCTGAAGGCTTGCCTGTCCTGCTCCACCCTCCTGCCACTGTGTGTAGAGGCTATCAGCACGCCCCTCTGTGTGTGTGGTCCGCAGGCTGAGCGAGCAGAGCGACCTGAACCCTGTGCCGGTGCTGCTGCAGGTCGTGTACTCCGTAGACGTCACCTTCTCTATGTAAGTAGAAAGCAAGTCCCGCGCTCCCCTGCTCCCTCTGCACGGCTCAGGGCAATGGTGCCTCAGTGCTCGTTAGGCACAGGCAAAGCCCAGCTCAGTGGCCTGGTATTGTTGCTCAGTGACGAGAGCAGCTTTCCCCTACAGGACGCAGTCTCAAGTGAAGACCTCCTTCAGTGGGACAGTGATGGGCGAGTCAGCCATGAAGCAGACCAGGGATATAGGAAGCCCGGTGGACTTCACCTTCAAGGTGAGTGTCACGCAAACGGTCCGGAACCGGACCCGATCGGGGGCGCTGGGAGGAACAGCCTGATGAAGATCTGAGTATCGCTGTCATCACATTCTCTGGCTGCCAACCAACAGCGGGTTGGAAAGTTTCTGCACTCAGACAATTGCCCTCCTGTGGGTTCGTGCCTCTGCTGAAGGTGGTGTTCCTGTGGCTGGCAAGGTGTTTGTCTCTGTGATTGCTCTCAGGTCCAGATTCAAGGGGAGCCCCTGGGCTCCATCGGCACGTTAGAGGTGGAGATCGACTGGCCCTACGAGGTGCCCAACGGCAAGTGGCTGCTGTACCCAACGGAGGTGGTGACCAGGGGCACAGCTGAGACTCGCTGCGTGCCGCCTGGCGACATCATCAACCCACTCAACTTGACTGTGAGTCTGCGTCTGGCTTGGCGTCACCTGGGCTGTCTGGGCTCTGTCCTGCCAGTGGGCAGAGTTCCCTGTGCTGCACAGAACAGCAGACATGTACAAGCAAGTGATCGTAGACTGCATTAGCCTCCTGGGGGCCTTGTGTGATTTTGGTTCTCTTTGTATAGAGAGAGCGCCTGACGTGCGTGACATGAAGTGCATTTTAATACCGTTGCATCAATAGTCCGTCCCAGAATTCCTTTCTTCTCCACCCAAGTTCAGACTCCCTCTTTTCTTTTGGGTGATATCGGCTTTTTAAAACTTCCCTTCAATCGCTCCCTCCAGTTTCCTCCCTCCTCCCAAAGGCTAAGTGCTTCATTTGCACATGTCCAAGGTATCCTGCCCAGGGTGTAGTACCGCCTTGTGCACTCTGCTTCTGGGGCAGCCTCCGGGACGCCGCACCCCTCGCCAGGAGTTAGAACATCGTTCTCTCTCTCTCTGTCACTGTGCTCAGCTGTCCAGCACCGACTCCGGCCGGCGGAAGAGAGAGGCCGATGGGAAGGAGAAGAAGGTGGAGCCCCAGGCGGCCATCACGGTCCAGAAGGCCAAGAAAGAGGACTTCCTGCTGGTAAGCAAAGAGCTGGGCACTGGGTGGAGAGAGCCCTCAGACTGGCGCTGGGTGTTTTAATTCAGCGGGGTGTTTTTCCTCCTGCAGGACTGTGCCGTCTCGACGGCCAGGTGCGAGAAGTTCACTTGCCCTCTGCGCAACATGAGCAACGAGGCCCAGGTGACCGTCAGAGCGCGCGTGTGGAACAGCACCCTGCTGGAGGTGGGTGCAGGGCTCTGCAGCGCTACCTCAAGCTGTTTTCCCAGAATGCAGCTAAGTTTACGCTCTCAGTGGGTTATTAGAGCAGTCAGACTTGACCACCACGCTGTCTGATTGATTGCACATATTGTTCAATTTGCATTATCATCAAACCATTCCTGACTCCTGTTCTTGTTTTTGTTTTCCCCACATAGTTCTCGTGTCTCCCTTTAAAGTTTATCCCTTCCAAATGTTTCCATGTTGCTGTTCTGAACACCTCTGGGTTGCTATTGTTGCTAGTGGGACATAAGAACAGAATTGCAGACTCAAAGGTTTTCTGGAAGCTGTGCATCAGTAATCAGTAAGGTCCTCAGTAATTGCATTGGCTCCAGAAGAGTTGTGAGCTGTTTTCTGGCCACGTCGCTAGAGGAGCAGCTGATGGCTCAGTGGCCTTCCGCAGCCCTTGACCTGTTAGGACCCTGTCTGTGCCCAGGACTACATCAACGCCTGGCAGGTGAAGGTGAAGGGCAGGGCCACCCTGAAGCTGCAGACGGACAAGCCCACCATCAGGATGAGCCAGCAGACGACGGAGGTGAGCAGGGCTGGGTTCGAGAAGGGGAAGCACGTGGGTTGGGCCACCAGGGGAGCTGTGATCTGACATGACAGCAGGCAGAGCTGGAGGACCAGAATGTCAGAGTCCGATGTCCTGCATGCTCACAGTCCTAGTCATGAGCCTCATGGCGTGGTGTACACTCAGTCTGTTGCTCCCTCCTCTCAGTTTGAAGTGCAAATTCTGCCCGTGCTGGGCAAGGAGGTGCCCTACGAGATTCCGCTGTGGATCATCATCGTGGCGGTGCTGGCTGGCGTGCTGCTCCTGGGCTTAATCATCCTGCTGCTCTGGAAGGTGAGCCCCTCTCTCTGCTGCTGTCTGATAACGTCAGGTCTTGCTCTTCAGAGCTCCATTGGGTAGTCAGGAGTTCATCCGTTTGTTTCCTGAAAGAAGCCTGGATGTTGTCTTTATCAACATGGCTGGATAAGTAGTTCCATACTACCACTAAGTGTAAAGAAGTGCCCCCTGTTATCACTTTTAAACGCACTTCCATGCAGTTAACATTTGCGCTGTCTGGTTCCTATCTCACTGGTGATACGATAGAAATCTGCTGGGTGATCTTTTATACCTGTAACAGGTGGATGCCGAAGACTTTGGATCAGATCTCCTTGTAATCTTCTCTGTTCAAGACTGAAAAGGTTCAGTGCCTTCAGCCTGTCAGTTTCGCAAGTGCTCACAACACCCCTCCAACCTATAATCACCCCGTTTCCGTCGGCACAGAACTGCCGTCTGTGTCGTCCGGCCCCAGTTACCGTGAGGACTGTGGAACAGGTTCTCGGGCCTCACCTGGTCAAAGCTGAACCTGTTCCTCCTGCGAGTCTGTCCGTGTGGCTGTTGTATCTGCTGTGCTTCACGGCTTGTGCCATCACCCTCCGAGTCCTGTCAATTGTAAGATCAAAGAGAAAATGAATTGCAGAATTAACAACTACACACTAGACCACCACTCACATTAGACCACCTTTTCTCCTTTCTCCTTTGGATCAATTCAGTCTGGTTTCTCTCATGAAATGAAGCACAGCAAATCTCATTGCTGCAGCGCAGGAATTGTGGAAAAACTGACAATATGAAATGGGATCAGCAGTGCAGTTCATTAAGCAACAAATAGCCAGCATCTGGACCTGTAACAGACCTCCACATTGTTCTTCCACATTCCAACATGAGTTTGCTGGCACTGACCCAGCACAGAGCACTCAGTGTGAAGAGGCTGTATGTCAATTAGTAGGCAGGTGCTCGCTGGAGCATCATTAATGTCAGCTCAACACTTTGGCCATGGAGAGACTTCATGTGCTGTAATCAAGGTGATTCCCTGTCAGGTGGGGAGGCTGAATCTCTTTGGAACTTCCGAAAGGACAGACACTGCTTGCTATGTTAACTTAACAGAGGCTGATAGAAGTGCTTTTTAAACATGTTTGTTTCTTTACTCAGCGAATTACAGGGAGTGTTCCACGAAGGCATCTTAAAGGTGTCAGTTCGCTGTGATCCTCACAGCAGGTTGCAGTGGATAACATTCTGGTGGAGATTAACCAATACTAACATTTAATACCTACAGAGCGCTGTCATTCAAAAAGCTGAATAAAATCCCCCACATGAATGGTAACGTCAGGATTTTCCCCATGGAATGCGATGTAGATATCTGCCTTCACTCTCAGTCTCTACACTCGCCATGTCAGGCTGCCCAATACGGGGTGTTGGTGCCCACTCCCTTTTGTGCTTGGTGTTGCTCATTTCAAAATGGCCAGGCTCTGTAGCGTCCGTTTGCTCCACCGGACGGGGGGTCCCATCTGCTCCCCGAAGGGCCCTCGCCCGGCTGCTCTCTTCAACCTCCCTCCCTGGTTCCCCCAGTGCGGCTTCTTCAGGCGGGCCAGCAGGCGAGAGATGTACGAGGCCAAGGCGCAGAAAGCCGAGATGAAGATCCAGCCGTCCGAGACCGAGCGGCTGACCGAGGACTACTGACCGGGGGGCCCCGAGGGCCGCTGTCGTGTGCCGCTGGGCAGCGTTGGTAATGAGCCTCGACCGCGCTCTGTCCGGGGGAGGGAGAGCGATGGGGGCAGGCGGGGGGCAGCATCCCAGTTACAGGAGGAAGACCGTCAGATCATCATGGTCGGAAACCTCCGCAGAGTAAAGACCGAAGGGAGAGCAGGCGGCAGTGAGCTGGTGGAAATCTGGAAGCACTGCCGAGCCCTGCGCAGCTCAGTCTGGCCTCTTCCAGACGAGACCTTCCTGGAACTGGGAGTGCAGCGCAGCAGGGTTAAAAGAGGAGCCAGTCTCTTCGTGTAATAGCATGGTGTTGGTCACGTTTTGGCAATTTTCATGTATCAAGAGGAGGATCTTCTCTCTTAATTACCATCGACTCGCAACTTGTGCGGTCGGCTCCGGAAGATAACAAAATATTGGAAAAATGCTTTATTCTCTGAAAAATTCCTCAAGCACATCTACGAGAGCTAGTTTGTGAGCCTATTCAGTTGTCTTCCTTCTCAGTCGTTTTTATACTTATATGTATTATCTTGAATTACCGTAAGAGGTTAGCAGGGGTAAAACTTGATTATATGTGAATTTGGCTTTACGTGCTACTCAAAATCCCTAACCCCCAGGTGAGTCACGAGCCGACTGCTGTGAAGCACCGCAGGGCCCCACAGTCAGACACTAAACCTCCTCCCACAGACTGGCTCCTTTTTCTCTTCTGTGGACCAGCAGGACTGCTGGAAAGCCTTGTCTGCTCTTGCACAAAAGTAGGCTCTTCTATTCTGCTGCGTTCCAGCGCGTTTCTCATGACTGCTCAAGAGGGCTTTCATCTCTCTCTGCTACACCTGCACCTCCCTCCCTCTGGAGCAAAGAGCTGTGAGAATTACCCAGACAGGCGCTTAGGTTTGATGTCAAGGAAGGAGATAGATCTGGACAGCATCCGAGAGTCCTTCCCAGACAGCGGTGTGGACTCTCCGGATGTCGTCACATTTATGTCCTTCCCTGCCTCTGTCACAAATTCTTAAGTGTCTTCTGATATTTCTCCTTCCAGGGACATTAACCTTTTTTCCTGTCTTGGGAATGCTATTTTTTAGCTACTCCTTTGAAAATACTTAACGTTTTTTTTCCTCTGTAAGAGAAAACTGCTTTACTCCACTAACCACTTTATTCTTTCTTTCCCCTAACTAATGGCTTCCTAAATGTACTCGCACACTGTTTTCACTTTTCAGCCAGATTAATCACTCCCTTTCTCTCTGTTGCCTCTAGCTCACCTCCTGCACATGATCAGTGTCCTGTGTGTCCAGGAAATGTAGACACGCTGGCTTTTCTTTGCTCAACTCTTCCTCTTTCTTCACAGCTGTCATCTTTCTCCCTTCTTGCTTTTAGACCTTGTACTCAAGGATGCAGTAAAAGCTGAAACAGTTCCAGCATGCATGAGAGTTTTAAGTGTCGCACAAGGCTTAGTGAAAAGTGCAGGGTGACCCAGTGCCTGTCTCCTGTCCCCAAACCTTCCTGTCTTACCTAGTTACAAATTTCACCATGGGGAGGTTGGTGTTGATGCCTGCCAGACCCACGGTCCTGGGTTCGAATCCAGCTTGGGGTCTTGCTCATGAGAACCTGAAACAGTAGACAGACGGGGTACACAGCCCTCAGAAGTCCCCCAGACACAACACTGAGCACAAGCTCATCTTGCTATAGAGTTGACTTGGATTAGCCAAGTAATAGATGTACAGTAAAGTAGCTGTTGAACAGAAGCTGATCATTATTGGGACAAACCTTGATTCAGAAGTAGTAGCTACTGCAATGAAACAGAGCATTTGACAAAGTTCACTTTCATGGTCCTCGTTGTTTTTTTTTTCTCCTGTTGCGGCAGTGTGGCTTCTTTAAGCGAGCCAGCTACTACAGGATAATGCCAAAGTACCATGCTGTGAAGATCCGCAAGGAGGAGCGCTACCAGTTCAACGAGGGCTTCCTGACCAGGAGTACCAGGAAGAAGCACTGGGTCACCAACTGGACCGAAATGCAACGCTATTACTACTAATCCCTCTAGCCCCTCCCCCTGGTTTCTGTGGGAACTCCTCATTGGAAGATGGGGAACTGCACTGCACAAGCTCCGCCTCTCTGAAGCCTGGGCGTGGCCAGTCCTGCCCAATAGGGTTGTGGCGTCCCAGCCGGAAGGCGACTGCTGAGTTTCCTGTACCTTTACCGACGGTAGGGGAGATGAGGTAAATGCCTGAGCTGGGCTTATCAGAATATTTTGTTTTCTAGTGCAATATTGTAGTAGCTATTCTGTTCAGACAGGATAGTCACAAATTTCAAAATATTTTGATAGAGTTTAAAAAAAAAAACATTTTAAAGGGGCTATACTTTTATTTTTTTCATGTGTGAAACCACTCCATTTCAAAAATATATTTTCTTATTGGATCTTTTTGTGCCTAAACTGCCTCAAGCCTAACACCTCCCTCCCAGTTGCACACTGCTTGAATTTGACTCAGAGATGCCATTTTTACCTTAGGCTTGTCTAGGGATTGAAAACCGTGGTGAGCTGACCCCCAGCATTGTTCCAGTGCTGTAATAGGATTTAAAACTGGTTGTCATTTTACCCCCCGTTACCTTTTGAAGTCCTGGCTTCAGATTTTGCGCAACTTGTGCAACTTGTGATGCTGCTATTGGGACTTCATATTGTCGCGTCCTGGTGCCTTGTTTTTAATCTCGAATCGCCAGTTAGTTTTGAAACCCGCTGATGGCCAGCTGTGTGTGTGTGTGTGGCCTTGCTGTCCCACACTGCAGCAGTACAGGCTGAGCCACTCGCCTTTTAACACGTCACTGGCGCGCCCTTCTGTCCTTCTGGCTTGTGGGTCACGGGGCGTCACTGCCTGGGGATCCCCGATTAGGGCTCTCCGGTTGACTGGAGGGGTTCTGTGCCCTTGAACACTGGACTTGACAGTGAGACGTTATCGAGAGCTGTAGCCCACAGGGCTCTGCAGGAGCTCCAGGGCTCCATGTTGCCTTGAAAATTTTCTGACTTTAAAAGTGAAAATGTACTTGATTCTGTCGAATTCCAAACTGTTCTAGGCCTCTAGTATATTTATTCTGCATTGTTTTACAACCTGCTGGATATTGTGAGTGAATGAAAGGGGCTTTGAAGTGTTTAATTTGATATTGACATGTTCAGTTTGTTTTTCATGCATACGTTTTATAAAAGGTATAGATGGTTTAATAGAGAAATGTGATTCAAACCTGTGAATTGTTTGGTTTCAAATTGTCTGTCACAATCCACTGTAAACCAGGTAAAGATATACAGCTCTCACATGGTGAAAAGCTGTTGGATACTGCACTCCATTTCAAACACAAGTGCAGCATTTCAGTTCTGCAGTGTTTTCTAGCTGTGGTACTGATAGTCAGTCCTTGGAATAAAGGAACAAGTAAAGGTTTGTGCCATCAGGCGAAGAAGGCTCCACAGCCGAAAAGTTGTTTCCCGTCTTCTCTTTCCAGCAGGGAATAAACCTTTACTTGTTCCTTTGCAGCCTACGTCTGCTGACGCAGCTGCCTACTTGAACTACTTGTCCTTGGAATAATGTCATTCCCAGAGAAAAAGATGGGGGAGGGAATCTCTTACACTTTTAAATTGATCTTCTGTTCAGCTAGCATTGTTAGATTGGAATTGGTTAAATTTCACAGAGGTACTAGTCTCTTCTGGGACCAGATGTCTAATTTTAATATTGCTCTTTCAAAAGGGTGTATGTAATTGTTTCCAAGAATGTGCATTTATTCTGATGCCTGATTAGAGGCATATAAATGATTGTGTCCGTTGTACATATATACATACTCATGCACATACCAATATTTAAATGTTTAGTTTGTTTCATGTATTTGTACACATTCATTTTGCTTTAAAAAAAACACTGTTGAGAGTCAATTTATGTTGTACTATTCAGTGTTACTAAAAGTATTTTTTAACAAATCCTAATGGCTTGACTTAATTTTTCATTTTACTTTTCAGAATGGAATTAACCTTTACCTGTTCCATTTAAAACAATATACAGCAACAAGTTTTGGCCGTTTAGCTCCAAAAGGTTCTCACAATGGTAGACTTAAAAGTTGCAATGTTGTTTCTTCCTTACTTGGATCTTTGCTGCCAAGGTGAATGTCTTTAAAAAGTATTGTTTTCATTGTGGCCATTCTCCACCGCTGAGCGCTAGGGCCTCAGATTCAATTACATGCCTGGGTTGCTATTGGAGTGGAGTTTGTATGTTCTCCATGTGTTAAAGTGGGTTTCCTCTGGGTGCCCCAGTTTCCTCTTACAGTCTAAAGACACCCTGGTAGGTTAGTTGACTTCTGGGAAGATTGGCCCTGCTGTGAGTGCATGTGTGTATCTGCCCTGTTACAGACTGGCATCCTGTCCAGAGTGTATCCTGCCTTGTCCTGTTACTGGCCAGGACTACAGAAGGATAAAGTGAGAGTTAGACCTTTCGAATGTGGTCCTAGACTTCAGTTAAACTCACTTTCTTTGCTGGCCTAGTAGGAATATATCCCTGTAATCCTTCACCTCTCAAACCACAGGAAACAGGAGTACAGAAACAATGTCACGAACTCAACATCGCTGCTGAAGCTCAGGGGAGAAAAGACTCACGGAAAACTGTTTGCCTCTGATACCTCTTCATAAGGTAAACAAAACAAACTGCACTTCAGTCCCTGACTTACAATTACCCTTAATTACACCAGCATTTGACATATTCTTGGGTAACTTTATAAGCATTGCAGGAACTATTCTATATCCAGTAGGATTCTATAAAAAAATGAGAACACATTCACTCTAGTAATTAGTATTTCCTTCATCTTTAATCTCTTGTTGTAATTTCTTTTAGGCTGTAATTTTTCAGGCTGCAGTTTTTAACTTGAACTGTTCCAAGTAATGACAGCTCAGTGGCACTATGGACAGTCCTGAGTCACCTGAAGCTCAGGTATTAGTTACTGTAGTAAGATACAGAGAATAACTCTCCTCTCTGTTTACACTTTTTCAAAAGCAGTGGCATCATACAATAAAAAGATGGTTGGGTATTTAACATTTTATTCAAGAACAATAATAAAAAACAACAATTCATACACATTTGCACAAGGTAAAGCCTGCTTTTAATAAATAAATGCTTTAAACTTTTTTAAAAAAATCTTGCACATTATAAATTTAGTTATCCATTTAACTTTTATACTGTATCTTTATAAACACCTGACTGCCCTTCACACCCCTCCCATCCCCACACCTAGGAAGGAAACATTAATAGGAGTCAACTTTGACCCCTGACCTGTCTTTGCATTAAAATAGAAACTGAGGGAACAGACCAGATGCCAGGGGGAGGGCTTCATGTACAGATGATCCTAATAAAATCTGATAGAATCACATTCTCTTCAATAAAAACAGACCTAGCATCCCCACCTGTCTGCTCCTTCTGCAGCCATCCCCTTTCCTATTGCTCTAAATAGATCAGGTATCGCCAACAGAGACCCCCAACAGCAGACCCAGGCCCGTGGTCCATAGTGTGGTTTACTGATCCAACTGCTGCTTTTCATGACCTTTTTTTAAATGAATGATTTTTTTGGGGGGGTGGGGGGATGTAATGAGTTGCATAAAGAAATCACAATTTTTTTTGCCTTTATTTGCATGTCTTAGCTGCTGTGTGCTTATTTCATAAGTCCCAAATACACCCTCATATGAAGAGGGTCTAACTTCCACCCCTGCCCCTGCCCTCCTATTGCTTTGTCAACATCCTGCAGCGGAGCAGAGCTGGGGCCTGAAGAGAGACCCTCTAAAGAATGATGCCTGGTATCAGTATGAACAAACGCACTGCTTCCTGAATGCAAGAATGACCCAGAAGACAAAAAGCCCAGGAGCCTAACAGTCGCTCTCAGGGTCTGTGCAAAGCAAATGTTACCAGTGTTTGCAAAATAAAAATGGCTCAGTAACAGCATACTCTGCAAGTCAAAGGTGAGATCGGCAGAGTGGGACTTTGCACACCACACACAATGTGCACATCTAACATACAAAGTCTTAAAAACAAACGGAAAAAAAATTACATAAAAATATAAATAACTCAAACTGCCTAGAACCTTTTCACTGTGAAAGGGGGAAACCCACCTTACAAATAAATTCTTCCTGAATTGAGCTAATTGGTGCTTATTGTCTTAATAAAAGGTTTGACCTGTTTCTAAGATGCCTTTTGCTCCGTAAGGTTGTCCCCACGTTCTAATAAGGCGATTCATTCGCCGGACTGAACTGCGCTTGGCTGGAGAGTCAATGCAAGTAAATGGCCACTAGATGGAGCCACAGTGCAGACAGGACTAATTCCAGTTCTTAAAGATTGTTCCTTTGTTGATACTTCTATTATTTCTTTGACCTAACCATGAGCTCGTGAGCTGTGGATGCAACAATCTTCTTTACTCCATAGTCTCGGGTAGTGGCCGATTGTCATTATGATTTCATTAGGTTCTTCTGTTACAGAATTGAACAAAATTATTCTCTGTTAGTTCCCCTGTACAATATATACATATAAAAATAACACATCACTGTCTTCTGGCACCCAATATAGAAAAAATACAACACACTTTATATGGTTTATATAAAAACACAAATTAAAACATCAGAACATCAGAAAAGCTACATCTGAGTGGAGATAATTCAATCCCTCCTTCTTTTGGGGGTTGTGTAGCTTAAGCATCTGAAAGCCACAAGCAGACTATCAGTGAGTGCCTCCTCAGAGCTGCCTTTTCCCTAGACATTCAATAAGATCTTAGCTCACCGTATTGCCACTGCACATTCTGTCTCGACTCTTCCACTAAGGTTACAAGCAAGAAGAGCCATTCAGCCCAGCTTGTTTAACTGGTCGTCAGTAGGTAGTTGAACCAAGGATCCCATCCAGCTGTTTCCCGAAAGAAGCCAGGGTATCAGTTTCAACTGCCTGTTCCCTGCTCCCACAACCCTTTGTGTAACAAGGTGCCTCCTGTTAAAGGCACCCAGGTTCTGGGTGATAGTGATCCTTTCACTGCAGCAATGGGATGGTCCTTCCCAAAGGAAAACCGCCCACCCCCCCCCTTTGCTGCCTTTCACGTTAGCTCCCTAAGAAATACCTTCTCCGTGTCAAACTGTATCCCTCTGTTAGATCCCTGACACATGAAGCCACTGTAATCGTCACAGTCAATATCCTCAACAAGCCTGTCTGGAAATGTCTGGAGCGCAAGAAAAAAAAACAAAATGCCAACTTTCAGCATCCGTCAAGGGCAGGCCAGCAGGTGCCACCAACTAAACTGTCCACAAGTGTTACTCCCTTGTGTTCGAAACGAGCCCTGAGGAACGAGCTGGTCATACCGTCTCCTGCAGTCTCTCTTGATGGATTGTTACAGTGACGGTCTTTCAGAAGACGTATTAAACCCCAGCCCTGTCTGCTATTATTATTCTCATGGTGATTAAGAGTGGTGCAGGTTAGAGGCCCTGCCCTGCAGGCTGCTCTCACGTGAGCCCTGGCTCAGTTCTGCACTGGAATTGTCCCCCGGGAGCCCACAGTGTCCGGCGCAGTGCAGCCCCCCGGCCTGGTGCAGAGCTGGAGGGAGAAGCCTGTTGGAGGGCCCCCACCCCCTCCAGGCACTGTCTCCCCCCGCCCTGCTGCGGAGCCCTGCGACCCACAGACCCGTCTGAAAACAGTTGGGGTGGCCGTCCATGACCTTTCGCCACGCCCTGACTCCCAGGGACTGTCTGCCTGCAGCCTCTGCCCTCCTCCCTTGCCAGCCGGCAGAAGTGCGAACTTCGACGCGCAGTAAAACAAAATGAATAATCGTATAATTACTAACGAAACACGAGACACACCGATGCACCAGGACCAGACAATCAGAATAAGGTGTTCGTCCAAGCGCCGCATCGTACCTCTCCCTACAACACTTCCCTTTTGCAGACGCGGACTTCCGGCTCTGCTCCGCACCCCCTCTCCTGAAAAATACTGACTGGCGGAATCCAGCTGCGCAGCTGGGGGTGTGGGGGGGGGTGCTCAGTTCCCGTAAAAGCCGTAGTAGCCTGCGTCGCTGCTGCTGTCCTTCTCGCAGGCCTCCCCCCCGCGGGTGGGCGGCGAGCTCTCGGTGCTGGAGGCGTAGGGCGACACCCTCCTCTTCTTGGTCTCGGCGCCCTCGTACAGCCCGGAGTCGGCCGAGTCCACGGACTTGACGGAGGGGGGCTCCAGCCAGGAGTCCTCCCCCGGCCCGGCCTCCTTGGGCTTGTCCGGCGGGGGGGGCAGGGGCAGGGG